GATTTATAGATACATACATACACAGATGATAGGTAGGTAGGTAGGTAGGTAGGTAGGTAGGTAGACAGACAGGCAGGCAGGCATGCTATAAGGCTGAAAAAAAATGCTGGAATATACAAGGAGCCCTCAGCACCTGCAACCTGATTGGCAGGTAGCAAACCCCATCTACTCTCTCTTGCCCCCATTTCTATTTCCTGTAGGCAAAATAAAAATTTCTGATGTGCTTGATGGGCTTGAATTCCCACCCTCAGAAACTCCAAAGCCACAACTCTAAGCTAACCTGAGATGATGCCAGCTGCCTTTTTTGAGAAAGTGATCTGTGCAGGCACTTTGCATACATTATTTCAGACCCGCACAACAACCATGATATTATCAAGTGGTATTACATCTTGGTTTTAACAGGTGCACAAACTGAGACTCAGAAAGCCCAGAACAAACAGATGCCCTCATTGTTCTTCTCTCACTAGATGCAGCATCTGTCTTCAGTCCCCAAGTACTCTGTTTCCCAAGACAGAAGAGCAGCAGTGGAAAAGTTGCTGGTGTAGAGTTTGGGACTCGAATGCCGCACTCTGGTGTGAGCAGTGGTGTCTCGCGATCCTAGGAACTGTGTCCAGTCAATGGGGTTGAAGTTAGATCTACCATTTCATTCCCCTGCCCAAAATCTTGGTGTGCCAACCCAAAGCTCTTTGGTGAATGTCCAAACTCCTTAGCAAGGCCAAGATCTGAGAGGGTTAGGGCCGTGTGAGTGTCTCCAATTTGGTTTCTCATGGTTCCTCCCTTGCCCTGCGTGATCCCACTGTGCAGACATTCCAGGCTCTCCAATGCCAAGTCCTCCCTCATCCCTGCCCTGTGCTCACAGGTCGTTCTTCCTCCCTGGAACCTTTTCTCTTCCTTTATTGCCGGTCTCATTCTCCTTCCAGCCTCAAGTCGGATCCTCCTCCTTCCACTCTCTTGGTTTATCTTTGCTGACCAACGTGGGCAGGTGAGGGCCTCCTCTGTGACCTTCAGACTCTCATATAAACTGCCAAAAGTGGCAATCAAAATAACACCTGGTAAGCTGGAGTAATAACCCATCACCAAAAACTCTAACCCAATCAGAAGGAACACTTGCAGTAAAAACAAAACAAAACACTGGCCTAACCCACCTTGCTGGGCAGCAGCTGAATATCAACTCCACTTAGCCTTAGCCCTCATCACACTGAACCACAAAAGTCTCTTTCCCTACCTGTCTCCCTCTGAAGAAGGTGAACAACTGAAGAACAGGATCTGTGTCCTGTTCTCTCTTGATCAATCAATATTTCCTTTTTTGTTTTCTTTGAGAAAGTCTTGCTCTGTTGCCCAGGCTGGAGGGTAGTGGTGCGATCTCAGCTCACTGCAAACTGTGCCTCCTGGGTGCAAGCGATTCTTCTGCCTCAGTCTCCCAAGAAGCTGGGATTACAGATGTCTGCTGCCAGGCCTGGCTAATTTTTATATCTTTAGTAGAGATGGGGTTTCACCATGTTGGCCAGGCTGGTCTTGAACTCCTGACCTCCAGTGATCTGCCCACCTCGGCCTCCCAAAATGCTGGGATTACAGGCGTGAGCCACCTTGCCTGGCCAGATCAATCAATACTTTCTCAGTGCCAACTGGAATCCAGTCTCACTGCTTACTAGCTCTGTGCTCTTAGATTTGCCTGTAAAATGGGCCAATAAAGACACCTACCTCGTGGTTTGCCTGAAAAAGGATAATGTATCCAAAGTGCTTAGTGTAATTAACATGCTCATTCAATAGATGGTAGTTGTTTATTATTTTGTGTGTGTTAGCTTTATGGATTTATAGGCTGAAAAGGGAGTTTTCTCCAGGAGGGAAGCAGAGATGAATTAGGCGGTTTGGAGGTGCCACCTAGCTACTGAACGGCTCTGCCTCGATGCTCTCAGAGCTGGAGTCTCCCCACCCTTCCACCCTGGCCCCCTAAGAGCATGAGACCAAAGAGGAGGCTGATCAATCAACAGGACTTTAAAGGCCAGTCGGCTTTCATACACTATGTCCTCCCAGTGTTTCTTTTAGCTACATGGTAACACTCATTTGTTTAGAGCTCACAGCAAATACATCTTGGAGAGGACTTTGATCCCTGGCAGCTGTGTACGTGTGAGTGAGGCAGAGTCCCAGGGGCAGAGAGAGCCCGGAAAGGAGGCAGGCTGGTCTTGTGGCTCTCATGCCCCCTGGGCTTGGCACTTCATTCCCCAGCCTCCTCCCCAGCAGGCTGCACTTGATGGCAGAATGGAGAGAAAAGCCAAGTCAGAGAGTCCTGGATTCAAATCCTGACTCTGCCACTTTCCAGTTGTGTGACCTTGGGCAAGTCACTCAACTTCCTTGGCATCATGCTTTTCATCTATAAAACAGGCATAATAATAGTTCTTGGCCAGGTGTGGAGGCTCACACCTGTAATCCCAGCACTTTGGGGGACTGAGGTGGGAGGATCCCTTGATCCCAGGAGTTCGAGACCAGCCTGGGCAACATAGTGAGACTGTGTGTGCGTGTGCGCACATGCGCGCGTGCACACACACACAAATATTAGCCAGGCATGGTGGTATGTGCCTGTAGTCCTGGCTCCTCAGGAGGCTGAGGTGGGAGGATCACCTAAGCCTGGGAGGTCGAGGCTGCAGTGAGTTGAGATCATGCCAGTCTGGGCAACAGAGTATGCCCCTGTCTCAAAACAACAGTAATGATCGTTCTTGACGCCAGTAGTTTGCATAGGAGTAGATGAAATCATGTATGTATTTAAAAAATGCCTTGCGGTAAGGTAGAAACATTTGAATGAACAGATCCTTTGGCTCTGCTTTGTGAGAAAGGCAGTGTAACATTGTAATCATAATGTTACAATGTGACTTGTACAAATACAATGTAACATTGGAAATAAAATGTGACAGATTATACCCCTGCTGTCTGACTATGACCTTGGGTAAGTCATTTCCCCTTTCTGAGCCTTGGTCTCATTTATAAAATGGAAATGGTAATAGTATCTCCCCAATGGGGAGGTAAGTATGAAAACTAAGGCAGTTACTTTTACGTGCTTAAGCAGCAGTCAGCTCACTGCCCAAACTCAGTATGACTTTCCTCATCATTGTAAGTCATGTGGCCACATGGGGCAGAAAGGGAACCCAGGAAATGCAGTTCTTAGCTTAGGAGGCATGTGCCCCAAACTGGAGGTGGGGTATTGGTGAAGAAAGTTTTATTGCCATAACTTTGGTTATGGTAAAGGGACGGCCACATTCCCTTTGAGGAAGACAGGTCTCGGAGCTCCCACCCAGCCCTCACCCATCCTTACTCTAATCTCAGCACCTTGGCCCAGGCTTGCCCTCTGACCCCAAGACACCATTCAAAATCCCCTTTGGGGGTGCCTCAAGGTCTTATTTTGTCACCTTATGACCTCATTTAACCTTAATTACCTCCTTAAAGGCCCTGTCTCAAATGCAGTTGCATAGGAGGTTAGGATTTCAACATATGAATTGGGGTGGGAGGAACAGTTCAGTCCGTACAAGCCTGTGGTTCCCTTTTTGGGGAGTATTTGAGTTCCCCTTCCATTTGTTTTGTTTTGTGGGACAAGTTCTCACTCTGTTACCCAGGAGTACAGTGATGCCATCAAACTCCCACCTCGGCCTCCCGAGTAGCTGAGACTACAGGCGCGCACCACCATGCCCAGCTAATTTTTTGTAGAAAGGGGGTCTTGCTATGTTGTTCAGGCTGGTTTGAACTTCTGGACTCAAGTGATCCTCCCACCTCGGCCTCCCAAAGTGCTGGGATTACAGGCATGAGCCACCAGGACCTCCCATGTGGGTTGAACTGATTTTGCTTTCAAATTCATAGAAGCACAAAATAAACCCTTCAGCCTAACCAAGTGGGAAAAATGGCCATGAATATGTACCTTTCCCCCAAAGAAAAGTGGCACTTTTAAAAATTATCAAGCCCACAGGAAAATCTGAGAATTAGGACTTCGAGCCCACAGGAAAATCTCACTGAGAATTAGGACTTCAAGCCCACAGGAAAATCTCACTGAGCTGTGCATCGTCTTTGAGATGACCATCCATCCCTCACCTAGAATTCACCTCACCTCCACTGTAACTACTACACAACTCTCATTGACAAGCAGGGCAGTCTAGAGTTTCTCAGCATCAAAACTGCTTTGATGAACAGGGGCTTTCCTAGTTCTCACACCCTCATCTAGGATGCAGGATCCCATATGCAGCTCCTATCCCATGTGCCTTTACTTACAATATGGAAGACACTCCCCAAATCCCACCCCACCGAGAGGCCAGGTCTGTGTCCCCACATTTAAATGCATTTGAGGCCATGACTGCTCAGTCCAACAGGATATAGCAGAAGTGATGCTCCAAGACTTTTGAGGATAGGTTTAAAATATACATACAGTTTCTGCTTGTCTCTCTTGCTCCCAGGGAAAGCCACCTTGGAGATGAGCAGCCATGCTGTGAGGAAGCTTAAGAACTTACATGAAGAGGCCTCTGAAGCCCCAGACAAGCCAGCCCACCTGTTTCTCATCTAATTTTAACCTATGTGAATCCATGAGCATAATGAATGGATATGTTACATCATCAGGTTTGGGATAACTTATTATGCAACCTCAGTACCTAGAAACATAGTGTTCGCTTTCTAGAGCTGGAGTAACAAATGGTCACAATCTGCTTGCCTTCAAACAACAGAATTCATTTATCACAGTTCTGGAGGCCAGAAGTTCAGAGTCAAGGTGTCGGGAGGGCTCTGCTCCCTCCGAAGGCTCCAGGGGGAGCCCATGTCTTCTCCTTAGTGTCTGCTGCTGTTGGCAAGTCTTGGCATTCTCTGTCTTATAGATGCGTCACTCCAGGCTGGGCCTCCATTGTCACTTGGTGTCCTCCCCTATGTCTGTTCTCTTCCTCTGAGGACATTGGTTATATTGGAGAAGGGCCCACCTGCTGCAGTAAACCTCATCTTCACTTTATTACATCTGTAAAAGCCCTATTTCCAAATAAGGTCATAGTCACACACCTGGGAATTCATAACTTAATAACAGTTTCAGAGGAACATAATTAAATTGTCAAGATAGGTACTCCATTCCGCAGATGAGAAAACCAAGGCTCAGAGAGGTAGAGTGACTTCCTCAAGGTCACACAGCTGGGGAAGTCACTCTACCTCTACTTCTAATGGCTGAGATGAACTTGGAACCCAGGTTTTAGTCTAGAGGTTTGTCTTCATGGCACCAGCTCAGAGAGGTTAAGTAATTAATCCTAAGGCCACACAGCTTCCAAGTTCAGCTGTTGAATTTTGAACGCAGATATTAAGTGACAGAGCGAAACGCTCCTCTCCTAAGCCTCGCTGATTCTGCTGGGTCAGAAGGGCAAGCTCCCTAAGGGAGTGAAGAAAGCAAGCTTTTCTTTAGGGTTCCAGGAGACCCGTATGCAAGGTCCCTGGATTGTGACATTGCTGAGAAGTCAAGCAACTTCCCCAACCTCACTTCACGAAATCCTCTCTCCGAGGTGCTCAGAGACTTAATCCTCAGGCTTAATCCATCAACATTGCAACAGGTTGATGGTTTTCTCCTCTTTGTCCCAAGGGTCAGGGGCTTAACCCTCAAGCCCAGAGATGCCAAGTTCCACCTGCACATTCCCCTGGGGAGAAGGGGAGGTGATGAGAAACTCCCAGCAGACCTGTTTGCTGTCTGCCAATCTCCACGCCCACCTTCCCCATGCTGCTCAGTGCAGTCGGAGATGGCCGGGAATGGATCCTGCAGGTGCCACGGTGCCCTCTGGCTTCCAGTTTGGTTTGGCCAAAGGGGATCCCCAGCAAGAGATTGCAGGGAGGAAAGCACGTTGGGCTGGGACATTTATTCTACCGGCTCCTCCCTGCAGGGTTGCCTTGGGCTGGTCGCATGCCTGACAGGCCCTAGCTCCCATCAGAATTAACACCACATCCCTTTAGATGGGTCCAGAGGCCTTGCCCTCCCCTCCTCTTCGGTGCTAGACACGTCCTGCTCCTCGCTGTGTGTGCCCTGAGCACCGTGCTCTCCCGCACCCTAAGCACACATTGGTAAACTTTCCCCTTTATCAAACTCTCCTCAATTTCCTCAATTTGGATTGAGGCCAGAGCCAGGCTGATACAAGGGGCATTGCACTCGTGTTCTGTTTTCTGACTGCAAATGCCTTTTAATTCTTCAGATTCCATCAGGGCACTGCACTAATCATTCCCATCTTATCCACTCAGGATGTGCTATTTATTTCAGGATCTGCTGGGCCTGGCCAGGCAGTCTGCGCTTCAGTGGTTCCTCTAGCGTTTCACGAATCAGGATGGATTCAGGTCACTCAGTTCCTCCAATGTCCCAAGCAACTTTGTGCCACTGAGTTCAAAGTGTACTAGGATTTCCAAGAAGAGGTCTTTCTAGACAGGGAAGCCACAAGACCTCAGGCACAGCTCAATGCTGGGAAGTCTCTGTGACACTCCTGCTTAAGCCTCTGTTTCCTGAAATATCTCTGCACCATGTTAAAGGCAACGAGCAGTCATAGTTAAGAAGACAAATTTTGCAGCCAGACAGACTTGACTCCAGCTCTGCCTCTCCCTGTGTGAACTAGGACAGGTCTCTGACCTCAGCCTCCTCAGCATGTAAAATGGGGGAAACAGTAGAACTCACCATGGAGGCTTGAGGCAAGGATTTCATTAGGATAATTCCTGATGCACAGCAGGCCCTAAGCAATCAGTAACTGTTGCTAATTTTTTGTTTTTTGTTTTTTGTTTTTTGTTTTTTTGAGAAAGTGTCTCACTCTCATGACCCAGGCTGGAGGGCAGTGGTGATCACAGCTTACTACAGCCCCAACCTCCTGGGCTCAAGGGTCCTCTTGCCTCTTAGGTAGCTGCGGCTACAGGTGCGTGACACAACACTGGCTAATTTTTGATATTTTTAGTAGAGACAGGGTTTTGCCATGTTGCCCAGGATGATCTCAAACTTCTGGGCTCAGCCGATCCCCACTACCTTAGCCTCCCAAAGTTGCTAATTTATTTCAGTGGAGGATAAACAAGCCCCGAGGAGTGCCGATGACAGCCAGGCACTGCGTGATGCGCTATCTGCTTATTAACTCATTTATTCATCAGAGTACACGTATGTGGGAACCACTATCATCACTTATACCCAGTTTGCAGGTAAGAAAAATGAGGCACAGAGAGGTTAAGTGTCTTGGCCCAGGTGACACAGCTCTTAAGAGGAAGAGCTGGAATTACAAACCCAGGTAGATGACTGCAAAGTGCATGCTTTCATCCACTCCACAAACACACCTCCTGGGATCTGGGGGCTGTTTTGGATTATATCCACTCCGCCTGAATCCCGCCAGTCAATCACCAAGTACTGCCTGCTACTGCTGGGTGTCCCATCCTTAAGAATGTATGAAATACAGTTAGGTTTGAGGTTCTTTGAGGGTAGGACTCCTGACTCACATTTATTCAGTCACCCTGTTTTCCCGAGCTCAAAATTAAGACATTCGCAATCAAATGGATAACTTTTTTTTCTGATCAGTCCAGGTGTTTTCAAGAAAGTGTTTCCAAAGCGCCAAAGGTAAGGTGCATGGCAATGAACATAAGTTCCCATTGTTGAAGAGAGGAAAGTCCACCCAAATCTGGAGCTGTCCTGGGGAGTGGAGGTCCTGGCTGGATACACAGGTGCATGCTGGGCACAGAGCGGTGTGCTGGTTATCAGCCATGTGTCCCCCTCACTGCCCAGCTCTGTGCCCAGGAGGCTGGCCCAATGGACTGCATCACCCATGGCTCCCTTGCCTGCCTGTCACCTTCTGGCTGGGGTCAGCCCATGAGAGGCACCGACAGACAGCTGCAGCAGGAGGGGAAAGAGGAGGCAGCCTGGGATCGCCAGGCCCAGCCAGGGCTCTGCCGATGGCTATGTCTCTCTGCCTGCAGGTCCTCTCTAAGTAGCCCAGTAACCTCGCTCCCTCTCCCTGTGTCTGGGTTCCTTTCCTGTGGCTGCTGTAACAAATGACCATGCACATTGAAAACAATGCAAATTAATTTTCTCACAGCCCTGGAGGCCAGAAGCCTGAAATCAGAATGGCTGAATTAAAATTGAGGTCATCAGCAGGGCCCCTCTGAAGGTTCCGGGGGAGAACCCACCCCATTCTCCCCTCCAGTTTCAGGGGGATGCCAACTTTCCTTCTCTTGTGGCTACATAATGCCAGTCTTCGAGGCTGACACATTTAAGTTTCTCTTGGTTCCATCTCTACAGTGCCTTTTTTTTTTTTCTTTTGAGACAGGGTCTCACTTTGCCACCCAGGTTGGATGGAGTGCAGTGGTACAATCTCAGCTCACTGCAACCCCCACCTCCCAGGTTCTAGTAATTCTCCCACCTCAGCCTCTCAAGTAGCTGGGACAACAGGCATGTATCACCACACCTGGCTAATTTTTGTGTTTTTTGTAGAGATGGAGTGTTACCATGTTGGCCAGGCTAGTCTTGAACTCCTGATCTCAAGCGATCCACCCGCCTGGGCCTCCAAAGTGCTGGGATTACAGGCATGAGCCACCACATCTGGCTCAATCTCCACCATGTGTCAATCTCCCTCTGCCTCCCCATGTAAGGATACATGTAATGGCATATAGGGACCATCTCCCAACCCAAAAGCCTTGCCTTCATCACATCTGCAAAGCTCCCCCTGCTTTTTTTGAGGGAGTGCATATTTTGCAAGGGGCCATTTCTCAGCCTACCATGACTCCCACTCTTGCAGGTCCCTGGTGCCCTAGGACCTCTTGGCATTTCCTTATCCTGGCCCCACCTTCATAGATGTAGCTGCAACACCTCAGTGGCCTCTTCCTTACATGGGACCCTGATGAGTTTGGTTTCCCTGCCCAGCCAGATAGCTCCCTCTTACTGTCTGCACTGAAGCCCTCTCAGCCTTCCTGAACTTCCTCCCGGTTCAAATCTATATATTTATGCAGAAATATGTATTGACCAACTACTACTGGGCACTCTGTGGAGCAGGGTCCTTCCAGTGAGAAGGCAGGATTCTGTCCCCCCACAGGGGCAAAATCAGGAATAAGTGCCATCCATTGTGCACCAGGCCAGCTTGGATACATGTCTCTCGCTGTTGGGAAACTCCCAGCTCTCCTAATTCAGCCTGCTAAGGATTTTTCCGCCTGGCTTCTAAGGGGCTGCATGGGTTTATCGACGATCCTCTGGTGTCCCCTGCTGGTACCTATTTAGAATTGTAGGCAGTTTTTCTAACACCCTCACAAAGATCAGCTGAGTCCAGATGTCCTTTGCCTAATAAGAGAAAAGGAGATGAGAAGTGTGGACTGGCAGTTAGCAAGAATACCAGGAGGCAAAGATGTAATGCCAGCAAAGAGGCATCGAGCCCGGCTATTCGACGCATGGCATAGTGGATACAGTGTAGATTCTGAAGCTCTGTTTACTGCTCCCTGGCTGACTGAGCCCACCTAAGTCACTTCACCTCTCTGTGCTTGAATTTCCTCATCTGTAACAATTCTACCTACATCGCTGGATTACTGTGAGGCTTAAATTGGCTAGTCTGTCTTAACCTGTACCCGGCACATCAAAATAGGATTTGGTTATTACTGCTGTTGGCATTGTGCTGGGCAGTGTGAATATATTCCCTCTAATCCGCACCATGACCCTGGAAGTGGGCATTCCTGGTCCTGCTTTGCAAATGAGGAATGAGGTTCAGAGAGGGTGACTGACTTACCCAAGGTCACACAGCATGAAGTGTCAGAGATGGGATTTGGACTGGGGTCTCTACCTCCTATGTTTCTGCTCTCTCCAGGGTTCCATGTCATCATCAAGGATAAGCTACTTCATGGCTGTGACTTTCCAGGCTTCCCTCAGCAGTGGAACGGAGGAGGAGACCTGGAGAGATGATGGCACCACCTGCTTCAGAAGAAAAGCCAGACGGACAGGCAGGCACAGCCCATGGTTGAACAGGAGGGATTTCCACTAGTTTCAAAGCAGAAACTAGACTAGACATGACCTTGGAGAAGCATAGCCGCTTCCCCTCCAAGACGGTGCCTATGAAGGTGAAGAACTTGTCCCCTAAATATATAATTCATTTTGATGGCAACAATGATGAAGAAGAATTATAGGAGTATACCCTTTAAAAACAAAAACAAAAAAAAACTAAAGTTGTGCTCTATCGCCCAGGCTGGAGTGCAGTGATGTGACCTAGGCTCACTTCAACCTCCACCTCCTGGGTTCAAGCCATTCTCATGCTGCAGCCTCCCAAGTATCTACAGGCATGTGCCAACACATCTGGCTAGTTTTTGTATTTTCAGTAGAGACGGGGTTTTGTCATGTTGACCAGGCTGGTCTTGAACTCTTGGCCTCAGATGATCTGCCTGCCTCAGCCTCCCAAAGTGCTGGGATTGCAGGCATGAGTCACCATGCCCAGCCAGAGTATGCCTTTTAATGTCAGTCTTTTTCACTAGACTATAAGTATCTTAAGGACAAGGAACATGTCTATTCTGACCATTGCTATATTCTCAGTTCCCAGAACAGGGTCTGGCACAGAGTAGGTGCTCATTAACTATCTAAATAACAAATGAGTGAACGAAGGATCATGTTTGCTTCCCTGCAGCAGAGCTCCTTGTCTAGTTGAACCACAGTCACATTTAGTGATGCGGCTGGGTGTCATGGCTGACATCTGTAATCCCAGAACTATGGGAGGCTGAGTTGGGTGAATCACTTGAGCCCTGGAGTTTGAGACCAGCCAGGGAAACATGTAGAAACACCATCTCTACAAAAAAAAATTTTTTTAATTCGCTGAGTGTGGTGTAGTGAACGTGTGGTTCCTGCTACTTGGGAGGTTGAGGTTGGAGAGCCACCTGAGCCCAGGAAGTAGTCGAGGCTGCAGTGAGTTGTGCTTGTGCCACTGCACTGCAGCCTCGGCAACACAGTTAGACACTGCCTCAAGAAAAAAAAAAAAAAAAACGATTTTTTTCAGGCAAATCATTCCTCCAACATAATTCTCTTTTAAACCAGACCTTGATGATTCTCTGTATGTGTGAAGGTGGTATCAGCCCGCAGCACCACCGGAAAATTTAAAAAGGAAAGACAATGATTCCGGTTTTAATTCCAGCCCATCCCCGGATCACTCTGCCTGGGTCCCCACTTAGCATCACGCCCAGCCCCAGTTAAAGCGGCGCCGGAATCTGCAGCCTCCAGAGCCTGGGATAAGACCCCTGTTGGTTTGTCTTCTCAGAGTGAATTTAGCTTTTCCCATCCATAGTCTGTTTGATAAATGATGTGTGATTTACACTCCCCCTGGGCGAATATTTATGGTTCACTGCCAAAAGCAGGAGGGGCCCCCAGCAGGGCCCACTGGGGCCAAGCCTCAGCTGCCACCTGCCACAGGTGAACTGCCTGGTCTCCATTCAGGTGTGGCTAAAGCTAGTGCACACCTGGTCTTTTGTCTCAAGTCAAACCCTGGCCGCTTGGATTTTCCCTTGAGGCTCCTCTGTAGTTGCCTGGGAATGGGGGTCTGCCCTTCAGAGGGACTTTTGGGTGGGCAATGAAGTGCTGGACTATGTTGGTGACACTCAACATAGCAGATGGTGACACCCCAGGGCAACCATCTCCAGCACCCCCCTCCATGGCCTCCACTTCCTGACCCCTAGGAGTGGCCACAGGTAGAGAGGAGCAAAGGGAGCCAAACTGGAATCTGGCCTTGGGCTCTACAATGTGATCTTAGGCAAGTGTTTCCTCCTTTCCAGGCCTCAGTTTCCCTGTATGTCAGCAGATGAAAAGAAGGTTGTCCCAGGACCTACGTACACCTAAAAAAATAATTAAAATAACTAAAATGAACTATCTTTGAGCCTTTCTACATATTAACATTTCCAAAAACCCATAGATTACCTGTTAATGACAAAAAAAATTTTACAAAAGAGGAACCTGGCAGGCATCCCCTTTTAGCTAAGCGGTCAAAGTTACCATCATCAGTTTTGAGGCAAATTGATGTCACGTGCCTCCCAATCTGGTGCACTGTGAAGAATACGGTGCCATGTGAACCTGCAGAATTGTTGCCAAAAAAGCAAGATCTATACATTCAATGCTATCCCCATCAACTTCAACTTCCATATGTAACCAAAAAAGAGCCCACATAGCCAAGACAATCCTAAGCGAAAAAAATCAACAACAACAAAAAAAGCTGGAGGCAAAACCTGACTTCAAACTATATTACAAGGCTACAGTAATCAAAACAGCATGGTACTGGTACCAAAACAGAGATATAGACCAATGGAACAGAACAGAGACCTCAGAAAGAATGCCACACATCTGCAACCATCTGATCTTTGACAAACCTGACAAAAACAAGCAACAGGGAAAGGATTACCTATTTAATAAATGATGTTGGGAAAACTGGCTAGCCATATGCAGAAAGCTGAAACTGGATCCCTTCTTACACCTTATACAAAAATTAACTCTAGGTGGATTAAAGATTTAAACATGATGCCTAACACCCTAAAAACTCTAGAAGAAAACCTAGGTAATACCATTCAGGACACAGGCATGGGCAAGGACTTCATGACTGAAACACCAAAAGCAATGGCAACAAAAGTCAAAATAGACAAATAGGATCTAATTAAACTTAGTTTGTTTTGCTGTGCAGAGAAGCTCTTATCAATAGAGTGAACTGGCAACCAACAAAATGGGAAAAAAATTTTGCAATCTAGCCATCTGACAAAGAGCTACTATTCAGAATCTACAGAGAACTTAAACAAATGTACAAGAAGGAAAAAAACATCAAAAAGTGGGCAAAGGATATGAACGGACAGTTTTCAAAAGAAGACATTTATGCAGCCAACAAACATATGTAAAAGAGCTCATCATCACTGGTCATTAGAGAAATGCAAATCAAAACCACATTGAGATAACATCTCACACCAGTTGGAATGGTGATCATTTAAAAAAATCTGAAGACAACAGATGCTGGAGAGGATGTAGAGAAATAGGAATGCTTTTACACTGTTGGTGGGAGTATAAATTAATTCAACCATGGTGGAAGACAGTGTGGCAATTCCTCAAGGATCTAGAAATAGAAATACCATTTGACCCAGCAATCTCATTACTGGGCATATACCCAAAGGATTATAAATCATTCTGTTATAAAGACACATGTACATGTATGTTTATTGAGGTACTGTCCACAATAGCAAAGACTTGGAATGAACCCAAATGCCCATCAATGATAGACTGGATAAAGAAGATATGGCACATATACACCATGGAATACTATGCAGCCATAAAAAAGAATGAGTTCGTGTCTTCTTCAGGGACATGGATGAAACTGGAGACCATCATTCTCAGCAAACTGACACAAGAACAGAAAACCAAACACCACATGTTCTCACTCATAAGTGGGTGCTGAACCATGAAAACACATGGACACAGGGAGGGGAACATCACACACTGGGGCTGGGAGGGGGGGGCTAGGGGAAGAATAGTAGGGGGTGGGGGGATTGGGGAGAGATAGCATTAGGAGAAATAACTAATGTAGATGACGGGGCGATGGATGCAGCAAACCACCACCACGGCACATGTATACCTATGTAACAACCCTGCATGATCTGCACATGCCATCCAGAACTTAAAGTATAATAAAAAATAATAAACCACTTAAAAAAACAAAAAGCAAGGTCCAGATGTGTGCTATCTTGGTGATTTGGAATATACCTTGGCTATTAGTATATATCTATAAATACAGAATTACTGTACCCTTCCTTTTTCATTTTCAAAATGTCTTTTAAGAGATATGTAATAGACCAGGTGCAGGGGATCACACTTGTAATCCCAGCATTTGGGAGACCAAACTGGGTAAATCACTTGAGGTCAGGCATTCAAGACCAACCTGGCCAACATGATGAACCACCACCTGCAGTAAAAATGCAAAAATTAATTCCATTTGACCCAGCAATCCCATTACTGGGTAGATATCCAAAAGACTATAAATCGTTCTACTCTAAGGACACATGTACACGAATGTTCATTGCAGCACTGTTTACAATAGCAAAGACCTGGAATCAACCCAAATGCCCATTGATAATAGACTGGATTGGAAAAATGTGGCACATATACACCATGGAATATTATGCAGCAATCAGAAATGATGAGTTCGTGTCGTTTGTAGGGACATGGATGAATCTGGAAAACATCATCCTCAGCAAACTGACACAAGAACAGAAAATGAAACACCGCATATTCTCACTCATAGGTGGGTGATGAAAAATGAGAACACATGGACACAGAAAGGGGAGTACTAAACACTGGGGTCTATTGGGGGGAAAAGGGGAGGGCCAGTGGGAGGGGGAGGTGGGGAGGGATAGCCTGGGGAGAAATGCCAAATGTGGGTGAAGGGGAGAAGAAAAGCAAAGCACACTGCCATGTGTGTACCTACGCAACTGTCTTGCATGCTCTGCTCATGTACCCCAAAACCTATAATCCAATAAAAAATTAAAAAAAAAAAATGCAAAAATTAGCTGCTCGTGGTGGCACGCGCCTGTAATCCCAGCTATTCGGGAAGCTGAGGCAGAAGAATCACTTGAACCCAGGAGGCGGAGGCTGCAGTGAGCCAAGATCACAGCACTGCACTCCAGCCTGGGTGACAAAATTATACAAACATACACACACACACACACATATATGTCTATATATGTACATATATGTATATGTACATATCTATATGTATATGTACATATATATAATTATTTTTGAATAGTTTTAGATTTACAGAAGAGTTGTGAAAACCTTGGAGAGTTCCCGAATCCCCTGCACCCAGATCTCCTTATTGTCCGCATCACTCTGGAACACTTGTCCCAATTAATGAATCGATACTGATGCCTGATGCACCCCTAAAG